AAATATTTATGGGGGCCCCTAGAGATGAAACACGTACAAACTCCAAAACACATTTCTAGCGTTAACTGAACTTCCAAAACAGAGCTACCTAGATCACTTAAATTACACAATCGAATTCATATGTCTATTGTTTTTGTATTAATACACAAACACTCATATATATGTATGTGTGTGTGTGTGTGTGTGTATATATATATATATGCAAATGATCATGTCTTTTTATATGCTGAATACAGTTTTAGATACACCTCAGATATGTGCAGTGGCATCCACTCCCAATGAATGGTAGATGCTTCATAGTGGGGCCTCAACATGTAACAATGACAAATGATAAATGTGGACGTCTTATTGTGTCAGCCTATCAGGGCAAAACTGAAATGGGATACACTCAATCTGTAAATGATTTCAGCATGACAACCATCCCTGACCTCTTGGGTTACCTCCACACACAGGCAGGATGTCTACATGCAGCCACACGTCCTCACAGGAAACAACGCAAATAGCTAAAAAATGAAATCATGAAGACTAACTGCAGTATTTACGCTCATTTATTAGACATTTAATACTAACTAATACAACATTTCTGTTACAAAATCTACATTTATTCATTTCTGATGTCGGGTCAAAACTTTACCTCATGTTTAATATTGAGGTTAAAGGAGATAGAAGTGGTCTACAATACATTTAAAAAAAATATATTTCTCATATTTGCATAGTAGCGCTTGTGAGAGGGGTGGTTTGGTTCTCTTTGGAACCTTCAGGTGTTTTTGGATCAACAAACCCTGTTGTTTATACTAATTCCTCTGTACTATAATTACAGCCTATTTATTTAGTATTAGGAAATTGTGCTCTGATGTGCTGAATCACACACAGAAGTGTGGAAAGATATATGGTTGATGATATGTGCTCTGTGCCTCTTGAATTGTTCCTGCTTCACCTAAACTTCAAGATTTTAAAGATACTAATTATGTTATGTGTGCCTTGTTTATAGAGTTGACCACAGGTTGAAAGCGGTATGATAACAGTGTGACACTGCCCCCTTCTGGGCTTCAATACGTCTTTAGACAGGACAAGGCGACAAATATTGTTTGTCTTATTTTTTGTTTTTGTTTTTTTACATGTACCGACTGAATGCGGTTTTTTATTTGTATTTTATTGTAACGTATTGAAACTTTTTTTTTAATTGTTGTCTGCAATAGTTTTAGACTTTGCTTTCATATTCTGAGTCACCCTGTGTCAATTTATAAGCAATTCATGTCTTACAGTAATTGTGACATGTATCGATGATGAGGTCAGTGTGGGTTGCTCCCAGTTCAAAGACTCAATTTCAGCTCTGGTCTCACACTAATTACATTCTCTGTGTCAGAGGTTTGAATACTCATGGATGAGGTCTGGGTCAAATTTGATTTGGGACTACTTTTCAAAACGGACCAGGGAAGCACACAGACTTATTTTGTTCCCAGTTAAGGTGAAATCACTCTGCAAGCTGTCTTTGCAAATCAAATGTCTAAGTATTCAGTTTACTACATAGAAAAATTGCCCAGAAATTAACATGTAACTTTTCCCTAATATTTAATGGGACATGGCGACATGGATTAATTGGGTCAGAATCTTTAGATGAGGCTTGCTGGCCTCAATTAGTCCCCAATTAGGCCGCACACAAAGAACAATAAGGTTAAAGAATGCATGTAGAAGAGCATTAACTATCCTTATGTACACTGTCTGAGGTAGCAATACTGGGGTTTTATACTCTAGATATCCCAGAGCACACTTGTTCTTCAAAGCTTAGCTCGAAGGATATTTTTATTTAGCATTAAAATAATATATTATGGCCATAAAACTTCTGTCCTCAAAAAGTTGCAGCTGTCGTTTAGTTATGTCTCTTATGTCTGTTTAACTATAACTGTCATGTCATTATGTTCAATTAATATCTTTTATTTAATTTGATATTTTTAATTGCATCTTTAAAGATATAACTGAAAACTCTATTTCGTAACTCACGTGCATATAAGTCCAACACCGTGTTTTACCAGCAAAATAAAATCAAGAAGCGCTTATTCCACGATCATCGTTTTGGCTGTCATACCAGGGTCAATAAATGCAATAAAGACTATTAGAGAAGATGGTTCAAATGTGCCATAATTGTGGGGGAAAAAAAGGTCAGGTGAGACAAGCACGAGGATCTAAAAACACTCAATAACAACATGTGCTGTCTGATAACAGATTACACTAACCTACCTACTAACTGGATTTAACCTTCATTTGGTTTTCTGAACATCATTTAACTAAATAATCACACCCCAGGGAAAATAAATAAATAATAGGTCAGCATAATCCACTTCCTGGGATTAAAACGTGCATGAATTATGAACATCAGACTTAGCCAACTATTTCCTTAGCTGAATGAGCTTTTCTTCAACTGTCGTGAATGACGAATCGGCAGTGGCGTCAATTAGTGAAATGAGCCGAGAAACACACACCAGCAGCAGCAAGCAGCACTTCGCAGAGTCTGTGAGTCAGACAAGCAGGTGAAAGAAGGAAACAGGACGCAGCTGCAGTTCGCAGATCACGGTCAAAGCCAGCACAGAGACACGCTGTTTTATATCTGTCTTTCCTCTCACTCCGTCACACCTCCTGCCTGTTGCACACTTTGTCTGCAGTAGTGGTTCTGTCGCGCTACAAGCATGGCTGCCATCAAGGCTTTGGAGCAGTGGTGTAAAATGCAATGTGAGGGCTACAGAGATGTGGCCATCACCAACATGACGACTTCATTCAGGAACGGGTTGGCTTTTTGTGCGCTAATACACAAGTACAGACCGGACCTGATGTAAGTATTGAAAACTTTTTCTTTTCTCCCAAAACTTTACTTTACTTTGGTTTGGTCAAGTACTTTAATAATTGTAATACATATAGACAGCCTGCATCCTCCAATAATTCACCCTTATTTTGTTTTTAATATTTTAGTTGTATAAGTACTAACTTAAGTGATCCTTATTCTTATTTCTGTGTTTTATTAATACATTGTCATTTGTCCAGTTTCACAGTGCTGTTTTTTTCTTCTTTTAAACATATATTTTTTCTACATGCTGTAAAAGAGCTATTCTGGGTAGTTGAGGTAACTTCTCTGTGTTCATTGTATTCCTGTTTTCCCAGAGACTATGACTCACTCAGAAAGGAGGATGTGTTTGAGAACAACAGACTGGTAAGATGTCAAGATGTTCAGCCTTCGTCTTACTGAGAGGAGCAGACTTCATACACAAACTGCAAAATCTGATGTAGCAGAAAACATCCACTTCATTAACCCCAGACATGACGGGCCACGCAGCAACACGCTGTTTGTTCTTGCCTTGGCATCTATGCAGCAGATTGGACAAATATTTAGCTGTTTCAATTTTCACAGCACAGCAGATTAAGCAAAAGCCATATCTCTCTACTAATTTTAGACTCCTGTCAAACTCAACCTTTCTCAATCTTTGCTCTTGCTCTGTCCGTTTGAACTCATCTATTCGGTTAACCCCTGCGTGACATGAGCAGCACAGCTGGGACCTCTCCATTATTTAGTTTTCTAACCTCTTGTCGGCTTCCTCTGAGGGTTACAGGCCCTGCAGTAAGTGTGCTACAGTACGCGCTCCGTACGACTTCCTTGTTGTTTTCGATCATCTTGGCTGTGTCAGCAGCAAACCTGACCTCAGGGGAGAGGCTCTCAAGTCTATTCATTTTGAATTAGGCTTTACTGTCGTCTGCCACTCGGTCCTTATGGTGACTGTTCTCTTGAAGACACTGCTGATACATACATCTTGAATGGTATATGAGAACAAAACGATTTGTGGGCAAAGAGCTGTGTGTTTGGTCAAGGTTAAGTTTGATACACTGCTGAAGATGCTCCCTCTACTGAAACATGAGAGAGCACCTGGTAATTCACACCCTTTCTATATTTCATGAATGGTGTCACGCTTCTTACAGGTAGGGCTGGATGATAAATTGGATTTTAATTTCAGGTACAATCTAGTATGAAATTGCTTCTTAGAATTCATTTTCACCATAAAGCTCTAATTTTGTTTTGTGTTAGAAATAAAGCACACCCCTTTACCTGACAGTGGTGTGTTTTTACACTCTAAAAGCCTAAGCTATTTAGTTCAGCTCAAGCCACGTGGACAGAAAGCAAGCCTTTTGTTCAACAAGACCTATCGAGAGAAGTAATTGAAGGAAGGATTCTGTAGGAGAACATGGTCATTGGAAACAGATTTTTTTTTTATTTTTATTTTTTTTTTTATCCCAGCTGCCTTTATTTCCAGGGTCTTTAACATGGTCTGCAATGGAGGAGTTGGCCTATGCTCCTCCTCCTGTTGCCAGCAGCGGAGGTCTTCTGATGTTTATGAGTTCCCTGGGCCTCTTGTTGCCCTTATCTGAACCCACAGACGTCTCACAGTGGAGGCCAGCAGAGCAACCGGTTGCTTCATAGTCAAAAACATCCACTATTCTGTACCTATGGGCCCAACTCCTGATTGAACACCCATTTTCCCTATCTCCGATACTCTGTTATTTATTTTTATATTACTGGAGGTTTAGGAAAATCCACCATGTACAGGGATAGGGGGTGGTGGTGAGTAAATTCTATATATTTTAATTTAATAAATAACCATGTTAGACTTTTCTTTTTCCTCCCCATGAGCTGAAATTTGTGGTTTTGTCCACTTAAACTCCTCAGTATCCCCTTCTTTTTATATATGCCCACTTGCTATTCCGTAAGGCTTTTCTTTAAATTTAATGAGCATATCCAGGCTGATCCTAAACAATGCACTGATATCCCGCTCTTCCCATCCTCTTTCTTATCCCTACAAGTTCACAGGAAGTGTGCCATTCATTATAGAGCCCTTTCCAAACCTCCTAGGGTT